TATACATATATATATATATATATATATATATATATATATATATACAATTTTTTTTTTTTTTTACACAAGAGCTCCTTGTGTCTGTCTGCAACCTGAGTTCAACTCCTGCTGAACATGATATGTTCATACAGCAGAGGAGCTTTCATCTTAAAATCCTTCCTGGTTTGATGTCATTTGTGAATCAACCAAGGCAGAATGGGGAAATGGAATTCACTGATATGCCTGTGACCTTGCAAAAGAGGTAGTCACATAGCTGAAATGGTAGATGTGTGTATGCACAAGTCAGCACTGTGTGATGTGACACTGTGTGTATAATATAAAACAAACTTTTCTACACCAAACCAAACATTTGTTATTTTTAAAGCGCAGACCAAAAACCAACAATAGCAGAAAAAACATTAACTTTGAAATTTACTGAATGAAAAAAGGGTCGTCCAATGGACTGGAACTAACAGAAAAGTGCAAATAAACATTAAAAATGGGACAAACTTTCATTTTCCATTTCAGTTCTTTAAGTTCTGTTTCTTGCCTGTGAATTTTTCACATCCTAGATCAGAGACTATAAAAAACAAAGTGTTGATTGAGGCCCACTTTCCACTTTGGCAACCAAAGTATGGGATTCCATTGAAAATATGCAATTTTTTAAGTTTTTTCTGTACATGTGTTTATCATAGACAACAATGTTTGAAGGGCTTTCTTCTAAAATATTAGGTTCAGGCTTTTCTGAATCGCTTATGTCAATCTGATGGTATGCCCAAGTGTTGTGCTTGTGCCTAAGAAGTTAATAAACTTGTACGTAACCTCAGTGGGATTACTCCCAGTATGCCCAAATAAGGGAAAAAACCTCCCAGTTGTTCATCTGATGTCCTTAGACATCATGAAGTGCAATAACTGGAAGGGTCAGACAGCCTGCAGAGCTCTCCAGATTCTCGGAACAGAGGAAAGTTACTCAGCCGCTCGTGATGCCTGCCTTTTATCTCACTCTAGTTGGGCTAATGTTTAGCGCAGGAAAGGCTGTAGGAGGACAGAGCCATTAGGAGGAAGTGGTCAGAGGAAATAAGACATAGTGGGAGTGAGGGGGAGGGGGTATGTGGGTTTGGAGAAACCATTTTATGAACGCAGACAGTGAGAGCAATAACACTGAACATGTTGATGTATATGTAAGAAATAAATGGCAGCAAAATGTGCAATTTCATTATGGTGGAAACATGAGCTGGTTGGGCCATGAGGTACCAGCAGTTCTTTAGTCTGACTAGAAAAGAAGAATGATGATATTCACACCTCGGCATGGAAAAGAGAAATACTTTCAATATGGTGCAGGTTTGCCTTTGAAGAGGCCAATCAAGTACAGCACGATGAATTTTTCTGCAGACCATTGGCTGTCAAGTCATGCAAAATAAATCAAAACGAGTAAGAGTCCATCACCGCGGCCGGAGCATCCTTCACTCATAAAATGGCTATGTTTAGATGTGCAAATGATTCATGGTGCAGTGTGGAGTTCGCAGCGAAGTCAAACACTCAGTGGGAGAGCTTCACAAAGGTTGGAGTCCTACCATCTTTGCTGGTGTGATCTCACCAAAGGAGTGACCACAAACAAGCTGCTATGCTTTCATATTGCATCTCTGTGTTGGCAAGAAATGAAAGCGCGGCTTCTAGCAACAAACCCACACGGTTCTTCAGAGTCAACTTCAGCCTCATCATGTCCCCTGGGAGTTCAGAATGCCTTAAAGTAACTTTGCGCAGAACCCCAACTGACATCAATCATCTTTATCCAATAGGTTTCAAAAGTCTGCATCAGATATAACAAGATGACTGTAATCTGATTACAATAATGGTAGCTACATTGGATTTGTCCTTTCCACCGAAGTATTTTTGAAGTAAGGCCAAAATAACAAGGTGATCTGAAGGCAGACATTGAACAATCTGTATCTGACTCTTGATGAGCTTGAATTAAAACACACCTTAAAATAATGGAAATAAGAGTATTTTACTGCTAAAAGATAGGATAAACACTATGGATACTGGTAATTCTGATGCATATAAACAACAGTTGACCTCAAGTGTAATTTGAGAAACTAGTGGGATCAGTCCTGATGCATGCTCAATAATCCAGGTAAAAAAAAAAAAATAATCCAACAAAGTTAAGTCAGGTCCTCTGGACAGATTTAAAAAAAATGTTGAAACATTTCATCTTTAATCCAAAAGACTTCTTCAGTCTGAGGAGCTGCAACAAACTCAGTCTTACAAATAGCACCTTCTCATAGTGGGTCAACCAGTTTGTTGTTGACAGCCAGAACTAGCTGTTCACATGATAAAGGAGGAGCATCAGCCTAATAATTGTGAGTGGTGGTGCAGAGGTTAGAAGACGGGCTTGAGATCGGAAAGTCGTAGGTTCGCCTCCCCGTACCATCAACATTAAAAAAAATGTGGGTGGAAAAGGTGGAATATCCACACCTCCCTCCACCCTCATTTGCCTCACTCTGGGCCCCTGAGCAAGGCCCTTAACTCTCACCATCTGCTCCCTAAACAGGTCTCTCTTGAAAATGAGTTCTCGTGACTCAGTGAGACTACCTGTATCAATAACGGGTAAATGAAAAAAAAAATAAAAAATTGAAGTTAGTGCCCTGATGGCCGCTTGCACAGAGGATTGAGTGATACTAGCAAGAACAGCATTGTAAGAGTGGGACAGCTGACTCCGTGTTCAACCAGCAAACTGGTTGATCCACTGAGTGTGGGAGTTCTGCTCTGCCAGCTCCTGCACCCTCAGCCAGTCTCCAATTAGCTACACCGGTGGATCATTGACTTGATGAGCATGAGGACCATAAAAGGATGCAGAAGACATTCGGCCAGCGCTGAAACATTACCTGCCAACGGTAGTCTTGTTTTAGCCTTTTACTCGTGTTTAAAACCAAATATTAATAATTCGTATTTCTCTCCATGCCTCCAGTGAGTTACCCTTGATGTTCCTCCTGTTTCCTGAATCCTCCTCTGTGAACCTCGAGCTCCTCTGTGCCTCAACCCTCCCCATGTCTGGCCACAACCTCCATCATAAGGAGAATCAGCAATAACATTATCACCCTCGACTACAAGAAATCTATCCATCTCTTTGCTCCTCAGGGTTCCAGTCCCCTGCCTGGCTTATTGCACTATTTCTCACTTGTAAATAAACACTTTGAGTCTTGGTCTCTGTTCTCACTGGTCCTTGTGTCTGGATATAGCTGCAGTCATTACAATGTGAAAGGGTTATTTATAAAACTGAGTCTGTTGCAGCTCCTCAGACTGACAAAGTCATTTGGATAATGAGAAGAATCCGTCCAGAGGACCCGACTTAGCTTCGTTAGTGGGATCAGTGTTTTTGCTGGCCGTACTTGCACAAACTTTAACTCTGAATGTTGGATCTTTTGAGCAGACATCTTAAGTATTTTGTATCAGTTCAGGAAAATATGTTTGAAGTACCAAGAGAAAATTGCTGTGCATAAATACCAAGCATCCTAACAATGATACAAAGTTGCCACTGAAACATAAAAAAACCTTATTAAGAACCATTATTTCCTCCAATTCACTGTTTGAAAAAAAACTTTTTTTAGTTGATAGACCTGTTGGAAACTAATTACTGATCATTCATGTGACATGCACTAAATAATGTGATTTAAAGACTTATTGGCTGTCTCCTTTAAAACGCACAACGCTAATCATTCATTTGTTCTTACAAATACGTCTGCAGACTCTGTCCTTCATCCTCACTCTGGAAAAAAAAAACATTTTATAAGACAGAGTAAGCATTAATATAGAACATGCTGTGTGGAGACATTTAGGGTCATGGCCTGACATAATAAGATATAAGATGTCGCTCAATAGGGAATAAGATAAAAAATAAAATAAAATCATTGTACAGTTTTTTTTTTTAACCTTTAGGTCAGTGGATGAAAAAAAAAAACTATAACACAGAGAGTTAGCTGCAAGATGTAACAGACACTACTTCTATTATTGTGGTTTTCAAAGCTAATGTGCCAATTATAATTTGTGATAAATTATCTTTAACAATAACAGACTCAAAACAAAAAAATATTTTTGTTTTTACGCAACTATACATATATATACATATATATATATATACATATATATATACATATATATACACATATATATATATATATATATATATATATACATATATATACACACATATATATATACACATATATATATATGTACACATATATATATACACATATATATATATATATATACACATATATATATATATACACATATATATATATACACACATATATATATATATACACACACATATATATATACACACA